TATTTGAGACACATAAAAATATAAATAAATAGACACAAGTAATCCTAATTTCTTTAGCAGGTTGATTTGGGACTTGTATTTGTTTACTATCCTTCAGAACGATATCTTCCCATTGACGGTAGAGTATCTATGCATTAATTACATATTATTAAATAACAAATTACTCCAAACTTTGGCTGCTTAAAAGAATAGACGTTTATTTTCTCACAGTTTCTGTGGGTCAGGAATTCAGAGGTGGCTTCACTGAGTGGTTCTGGCTCAGGTTCTCTCATGAGATTGCAGGCAAGATGTCAGCCGGGGCTGCAATCATCTGAGTGCTTGGCTGGGGCTGGAGGATCCTCTTCCAGGATCACTCACTCTCATGCCTATTGGCAAGAGGTCTCAGTTCCTCACTGGTTGTTGGTAGGCAGCCTCATGTCCTTTCCACATCGACTTTTCCACAGAGCTTCTTGAGTGTCCTTATGACATGCCAGCTGGCTTTCTTAAAAGCAAGTCATATAAGAAAGCAAAAGGAAGCCACAATGTCTTTTGTCACCTAGCATCAAAAGTCACATTCCATTATTTCCACAATATTCTGTAAGTTACAAAGTTATCTCTATTCAGCTTGGGAGGGGACTATACCAAGGTGTGAACACCAGGAGATAGAGATGATTGAGATGAGCTGCAACAATGTAGTCCTGCAGAGAAGAAAAAAACACAACAAAAAGAATCCCCATACACATGAAAGATGGACTGCAAAGTCATAAACAGTAGGAATTCCAGAGTATGACCAGTTGGCATATTTTTAGTATTAAAACATTTCCAGGCATACTGCACAAAAACTACACACACTTTAAAATAAAGCCCAAATGCAAGTGAACAAAACCATGAGGCATTCTAGGACCTGTATCTGCCTTTTATTCATTTATTTTAATTTCATTTCTCTTACATCTTTCAATAATTGGAAACTTATCATGATTGCTGCTTGGATTCCCTATTCCCTTTAAACACTAAGAAGACATAGGATAACAAATGTAAGAGGAACTGTGTGAAATTTTGCAAAAAGAAGTTAAATTCAAATGATATAAATAATAAGGTGTCACTGTTTGAATTGTAAAGAGACACTGCTGGTTGCTATAAGCCTGTGGCTATATAACTAAAAAGTAAAATTTGTAAATCATAATCTGATTTTGTACAAATATATGTGAAACCTCTGCTAGAAATGCCATATGTGTACCCTACATATAATAGAGACCATAAGGAAGTATAAACAAAAAGCATTTTGCAGTTTCTCAAAGTCTCATTAGATGACTGACTCATTGGTCCTACTTCTTTTTTGACAAGGAATCGTCAAAGGAAATATCATGAGTCTGGATTGGTTTTCTTCCCTAAGGGCTGACTTTCTAGTTGCACTCAAGGACCTACACCTCCAGAATGACAATGTCCCTTGATGGAATTAAACAGTGTCCCCCACCATCCAGGAAATGAGAGTGAAAAACATATGAATGGTGAAGTCAAATACCTTATTAGCCTAAGGTCTGCTCTTAGTGACAAATGGCCAGAAAATACACAGCCTTAAAGATAGACACTAGATTGAAAGGAAACACAGTGAATCTAAGTGCACAAGATGGTAACTGAGCCCAGTAGAAGGAAGAACGACTTAGAAGGGAATGAGCTGAAGGTAGGGGGAAACAAGAGCATAGATAAGCTGAGGTTACATGGAGCAGTGAATGTACTACACAACTTCAGGTGGGGAAAGTGCAGAAAAAAAGAAAATCAAGAGCATGAGAGAAGAGGCAAAAAGAGCTTTATTAGAATTTGCATCCAGCGCAGAAAGTACCGAGAAACATATTACAGAACACCAAGTACATGCAGAGAGATGCTCATAGCCCTACACAGACATCGTAGAAGAGGCAGGAGAGAGTCTTGGCATTATAGCTGGCCCAGGAGTCCAAGTGAGGGTGAGGGGTGGAGTTAGAGACAAATTCAGGCTTGTATTTAGGGAGTGCTAAGCCTCATCCAGAAAGACATCTTATAGGTGTGTTTTGGGGGCAGGGGTATGAGGAGGTGGGCAGGTAGGGAAGGAGCTGCGGGTGAAGTTTGACATACAAAGTCACGAGGTCCCAAACAGCCTCACGTGTCACAAACGGAGCAAAGGAGATTGGAGAACAGGACCCAGGTTAGTTCTAAAGATTATACTCTTCTAGTTTTTATTTTCCTACACACAAACGACAGAGCCCCAGTACTAAATTCACCTAATGGCACAGAGCAGCTTATCACAAGAAGATAGCCCATTAATCAAGAAACTATAAATCAAATATTAATTATACACGACGAGAGAGACTATGGGACACATAATGCCAAGGCGGCTTTACTGAAATCCTTAATTTGCGAAGTTCCAGATATGGAGTTATGCTCGTGTATCTCGCATATTACCAGGTACTCCACATATACTAATTGAGCTATCCTTTTGCTTCTATTTCTTACCTCCCTATGACTTACAAATTATAAGAAAAAAGCACTGCTACCTTTGGGCATTTTTAGTAGGAGGTTAAACAAATGTGAGTGGGGGTTAACCATGAAGCAATCAAGGATGTGGCTCAAAATATAGAGGTGGAGTAAATTGAAGAGCCAAGGAGCTCTACAAATCTGTGGTTTTATTGACCACATTAAAGTATCGGTTTATATAAACAGTGCACTTTTAATCTTTCGAAGTACTTCCACATATTTTCCATATTCCATTTCATATCCTTACAACAGTCTTAGAGTAAGTTGGGTAGGTATAATTATATCTGTCCCTTTAGCTGGTGAAATAGATTCACAGAGAATAAATGACTTGTATAAGCTGGTAAGTGACAGAGCCATGGCATACAAGTGCCCTGAATCCCAGTCTGCTGTTTGTCTCCCCTAGACCAGTGCTTCTGGAACTTGAATACAAATCGCTGGGAATCTTGTTGAACCATAGATTCTGATGTAGTAGGTCTAGGATGGGGCCCGAAATTCTGCATTTTAACAAGCTCCCAGGTGATAACGAGGCTGCTGGTCTGTAGTTCTAAGCCAGACTGCTTAGAAAAATTCAGTAATCTCTTCATTCAATGGCTGTACATCAATTATTATTTTCTTGTGTGTGTGAGGAAGATCAGCCCTGTGCTAACATCTGCCAATCCTCCTCTTTTTGCTGAGGAAGACTGGCCCTGGGCTAACACCTGTGCCCATCTTCCACCACTTTATATGAGAGGCCGCCACAGCATGGCTTAACAAGCAGTGTGTCCGTGCGCACCCAGGATCCGAAGCAGCGAACTCCGGGCCGCCACAGCGGAGCGCGGGCATTTAACCGCTTGCGCCACCGGGCCAGCCCCTCAATTATTTTGTTAAAACGTGGATTCAAGAGCCCTGGCCCAGAGGATTTAGTAGGTCTGGGACAGGGCCCTGACATCTGCACATTTTTTTAAAGTTCCACAAGTGATTTTGACTCATAATCAGGGCTGAAAACTTTTGCACACTAAGTCACAGAACCTATATTGTACATTTTAAAACTTTTAAGCGAGAGTCTTTTCATGCAATTATACCGGCTCTAGTTCCACCCTAACTTGCAAGAGAACCATTTCATACACTTATAAAATATTGAACTTTCAGATGTCTATCCCTCGTGTTTTGATCTTGAGACTTCTATTTCTCTAGTTCCCAAAGTACAAAATATCATAGCACTCTATAATGTCATAAGATGTTAGTTTCACTCATTTTTGTTTAAAATAACATCAGTTACAAATTTCAATTCCTATTTTCTTTGATCTTTTAAGAGGTCTATGGTTCTTGGAGAATTTATTGTCAGGTGTAATTTTCATTATAAGGCACATTGTAGAGGTCTGTACAGAGATAAGGAGGAAGTGTTCAAGATATAAAAATCATTTCAAGACTTACATTTTGGAAGGGGAAAAAAAAACCTAACATCTGAATGACATTTAAAGAGATGGCAACCTTACTGCCACAGTTAAGCGTCCCAAGTGAGTACACGGCAAAGACAGGTTGAGATAAGAGCAAGCACTGATAGAAGGCGTTAGGGATGATGTGCCATGCTGGTCTTGCCTGTGGTCTTTGAGAGTTTGATACTCCAGCAAGCCATGTTTCAGATTTTTCACTCATTGATCTGAGGGACAGGTTAAGAGCAGTCTAAGAATACCCATAGCTTTCTTTTCTTTTTAAGGATGACCTTGGCTTTCAAATTGCTAAGCTCTATTGTAGCCCATGTTTACTCTTCAGATAAAAACAAACAAGGGTGGTGACCATAGGTGGCCACAGGATTCTGGGAAAAACAGTCCAGGGGATTGTGTGTTCTCCCCACCCCTTATACCCCTCACCCACAGTGTCAATTTCTTCCTATTATTGCCTTTGGGTCCTAATGGGGTGATGTCCCCAGAGCAGAGATGCTCTCTCAGTTTACAATCTTCTTAATGTCATAGTAATTTTTTCACAGCACACCCTAAGCTAAAAGAAATACCTAAAAGTTCTATTTGTTAAGTAGTTATATCCTAACAACTTAAAAGTACTTATATCCTAACAACTCAGTGCCTGCTGAGCACAGCACAACTTCTCAAAACTTGCAACCAAATGGGACACTGCTACCTCCATTTCCTGTTCCAAAATGATTTTCACATTGTTGATGCAAATAATCAATAACCATTCTATAGATAAGAGAGATAAGGTGACCCTTACTTAAGCCAGGCTGAGGACTTTAATCCGGGAAGGCAGTCTCCACAAAGGAAGAAAGTGTTCCAGAGAAGCATGGTTTTCAGTACAGTTTATACATTTTTAGAACAAAGAACATAGAGTAAACACACCCAGGATACATATTGATCAAAGTTTCAAAGAGGTATTCAGTTGAAATTAGCAGGTCAACATGACCCCGAGGTCTGGGAAAGGGAACTTATGATCAGGAGTACTGATATGGGTGTTACCAATACTGGCATTGTGGGACGGAATGTGTCTTATCTTCAAAGAGTGCCCTCTTTTACTCGAATGGCTAAAGCAGATGTACAATGTATGTTTGATAGGCCATAAGTCAGGCTTCTTTAGTTCAAGCCAAATTGGTTTTAAACCAGAATAACAACTACCCCATATACCTCAATAAGGTCCTTGCTTTCTATCATAGAAAACCCAGCTTCACAAAGATATGATGTAAACAAATGGAACATGGCAATCTGATGTTGAAATTATTAGTAGTTCATGTAGTGTCCAAAAGAGGTTATTGTATTTCCCTTGAAAATTATTTAGTTATGTTCCTATACATCTGCCATAGCACCCTGCAATGCCTTAGCACACAATTTGAGAATGTTGGCCCCCAGCACTCAATTTGAAGCCCAAGACTCAGATTTCTGATCCTGGCTACTGAATCCTCTAGCCATATTTTATGGGGGAAGTCTATTCATTACTCTGAGCTTCAATTTCTTCATTTAAAAATAGAAACAATAATTTTCAGCATTCTAAGAAGGAACACAACCAAAAGGACTTTCAATGTGGAAATGCTACACTGAAGATGTAGAGAGTTCTCTTAAAAGTGAGTTGATCTAGTACAGTGAATTTTAAACTTTTTTTTTTTTTTGAATACAGAATCCCTTCTTCAAATAAAACATCCCTAAGATGCAAAAAACACATATGAGATTAAACATAGGGACATCCCATTGAAAAAGGCATGCTAGTCATTTTTCTCGGACCAAGTCTTCATCTACTTCATGCTCTGATCTGTTTTCCAAGGGGGATGGACTCGCATTATGTTTCCCAGACTTTCTTGCAAATTGGCTTCCCACTGGGTTCATCTTGTAGTCTATTGGAGGGAGAATCCAAGGTATTCCTCCCGACTCTCTCTGCCAGAAGCATGTTCAGTAATTCTGTTTTCAGTTTCCCATGAAAGGTCCCTTCCTACAAGGTTCCCATTCTCATCATGGCCTCGTCTTCTCCTCCCATCCCCTCTCCAGCCCGATGGGTAATGGTAGCTTCCTGCAGTTGCTTATCTTGGAGTTGTCTCAACTTCCCTGAGCTACTTTTTTAATCTCTCCTAACCTGTAGCTAATTTTCTGTATTAAATTTCCTACATCAAATTTCTTCCATTGATTTTATTTTCATAACTGGTCTCTGACTCATACTAAGCTATGAATGGCCCAGACCCCTGCCTCTAGGACCCAGATTTCCTGACACAGTCTTTCTTAGGTACATCTGAAAAACCCTTAAGGCTCATTCCTCACTCTATCACTAAATAGCTGTGTGATCTTGGGCAAGTCACAGAACATCTCTGAGCCCCACTTTCCTCACTCTGTAAGAATCATACTTACCTTGACTTCTCATGATAAGTGAAAAATATTTTGGGGTGCTTTAAAGTGTCGGACTGATCTTTTATTACACCCCAAGCCTTTGTGTATTTGGATGAAGGCTCTATCTTAAAAAATAAAATGAAGGTGTTGGTTTTTCAGGCACCCAAAAAATATACCTCCTCTTCCCCCCATAACCTAGGCCTAGCTTTAAAGATAGGAAATTCTGAACTGTTCTTTTACACAGTAAGATTAAGTGAGGATTAATGGACTTCTATCAATTCTGGTAAAGTTATAATAGACTTTGGTTACAGCTACTGATTCATGCTTCTATTCTGATCTTGGTGTTTATGCCTAACAACCCACACTGGGTTTGTGTTCATTCCTTCTCGTATTGCGGTTTCAGCACTTCCAGAGTGGTTTTAGGCACTCCTAATCCAGATTTTGTGTTCATGTACTTAAAGATAATTACCTTTGGTTGCAAGGAGGATGCATACATATGACAGAAGATGGAATTAGACAATTATGGTTTGAGAATTGCTTCTCCAAATAGAAAAGTGGAAATGTATATGTTTGTAAATAATTGTGGCCTAGCGTGTATTGTAGGTTTTGTTTTTCCTCAATAGAAATTTTGTTTTTAAGTTTCACTTTCTGAGTTGTGGTAACATCAACTCTGCCTGGTGGAGAGAAGACATTTGGGTCAATGTAACTACCACACATAGTCTGATCCATGACAGAGTACTGACTAAACACTACAGCAATATTTAATACATTGTATTGCGATTGGCTCTTTACCTATTAGCCTGGCCCATAGGCTATTATAAACTTGGAAGGTAGCAGGATTGAGTCTTTCATCATGTGTTTCCAGTGCCAGCGCAGTTGCCTGGCACACAGGAGATTTTCAAAACACATGAGATAAATTAATGAATGAAGGCAAAGCTGGATTAAGACTAGCTGATGCTCTCAGTGCAGTCCAACAATGGTGCCCCCTCAGCCCTTCCATTACTCAAAATAAAGAAATTAAGGATCATTTACACAAATCAGCTGGTGAGTTAAATGCTGGTTAGATTCACCAGCTATGTTTACATCGGATATAAGCAAAACTCTCAAGCCATGAGATGGAAGCAAATGTGATATCTGACAACAGCTTCAAACAAAATTTTTGTGTGTGTGTGAGGAAGATTAGCTCTGAGCTAACGTCTGTTGTCAATCCTCCTCTTTTTGCTGAGGAAGATTGGCCCTGCACTAACATCCATACCCATCTTCCTCTACTTTGTATGTGGGACGCCGCCACAGGATGGCTTGATAAGCAGCGCATAGGTCCGCACCGGGATCCAAATCTGCAAACCCCGGGCCGCTGAAGTGGAGCACGTAAACTTAACCACTACGCCACCGGACCGGCTCCTCGAACCAAACTTTTAAACTTCAGTCACTCACCATGACAAAGAGAATGTTTAATAATACTGATTAAAGTAAAACATGGCAGATGAAGAGGCTACAGAAACAATTGGACTAAAGTCAAGTGAGGCAGTGAAAGAGTTAAGGGCATGGTAGCTGGGCTGAGGGGAAACACTGCAGTGCTCCCCTTCCCATTTGCTTAATGGTTAATCCAGGGCTGAATGAACAGCAGAAAATGCAGAGCTAATATTAGAGAAAGTCTCCCTTACACATTGCCCATCTGATTTTCCTAAAATACTTCAAGCCCCAGTCCAGAGTTCCATTCCACGACTCTTCTTTCTTCACTTATCTATCTCCCCTTCCCCAATCCTATAACATCACGCCTGACTCAGATTTTTCCTATCGTAGCCCTCTGCTCTCCCATTGCCCAAGCCTTCACCTCTCAAAATTGGTCCTCTCTAGCCGTCTAGTCAACCACTTTTATTACCTAATGTACACATCACCTTGTAAAAAGCATGATAAACCTAGAATATGAAGGAAAGAAAAAATAACAGCAGTTTCCTTATTTTGAAAATAGTCATAAGCTAATTTGGTGGCCAATGCACTGATGCATGAAAACATTCTAGGTCTCAATTTCCCCATCATTATATCAACAGTAAAAAGTAGATCGTTCTAGCTCTATTATTCTTTGACTACAAGACTTAGAAGGTAACAAATCAACAAGTCTGAATTGATCTAGTATTTGCAAATTGATATATTATAAATGAATAACAAAATGATACAAAGTTAAGCAAGAGTCATAGTTATGTGGGTTCGATGGACTTCTGAGAGAGGGTACATCTTGAGTGATATTGGATAACTAAAATCTCAGGAATGAGGAGCCCTCAAGATGTCTCTCCTTCCATATGCCCATCACCCAGCTTCATCAGATCTTAACATTATTCTACACTTTTCTCAAATCCTTTATTTTTAAGAAATCATGATAAAACAATGGTGGCTCCTGTGATCTTGATCCTATTTTTCTTCCTCCTTCCCCAGTGGATAAGTTATTTGGAAGAAGAATGGATATATTAATTGAGGTATAGTCATCCTGTGGAATACTGTACAATAGTCACAAGAATTAAACTAAATAAATATCTATCAACATGGATAAATTTTAAAAATATAATGAATGAACAGTTAAGTTGGTTCTAGTTGTTCACCACTACAAGCATTGTTGCAATCAACATTCACGTACACATCTCCTTATATACAGGTGCAAGAGTTTCTCAAGAGCTTATGCTCAGAAGTCAAATTTGTGAGTCTTGAGGGATATGTACATCTTCAACATTACTAGATGTTGTCAAACTCTCTCCAAATGGTTTTTTACCAATTAGTAGTATATGAAAGTTCCCATTTTCCCACATCCTCAGTGACATTTGGCAATATAAGAATTTTCAATTTTTGACAATCTAATAGCTGTGGAATGGTATCTCTCTATTGTTTTTATTTATACTCTGATTATTTGTGAAGTGGCACATCAGTTCTTAAGTTTATTGGTTGTTCCTCTCCTGTTAATTGCCTATCACATCCTTTGCATATTTTTTCAGTTGTTTTATTATTTTTATGTTGATTTGTAGGAATTATTTATATATCCTAGGTAATAACATCTTGCTGGCTATATGCATTTCAAATAATAACTTTGTTTATGAGGTCTATGGTTGTTTAGAATTTGTTCACTTTGACAATATTTTATATTATGGGTTTGGGAGTCTTGTGTCTTGTCTAAGAAATCCTCCCCTATATTTGCTTCTAAAAATTTTAATTAAAAAAAATCAGATTTTTGGGTCGTCCCCGTGGCTTAGCGGTTAAGTGCGCATGCTCCGCTATTGGCGGCCCGGGGTTCGGATCCCGGGCACGCACGGACGCACTGCTTCTCTGGCCATGCTGAGGCCGCGTCCCACATACAGCAACTAGAAGGATGTGCAGCTATGACATACAACTATCTACTGGGGCTTTGGGGGGGGAAAAATCAGATCTTTAATCTACCTATATCTTCTTTTGTATAGCATGACATAGAAATCTAGTTTTTTTCCTGTATGAACAACTAATTTTCACAACACTACTTATTTCTACTACTTTATAATTCTGCCTCAAATTTATTCCTAAAAGTAATCTTTCCAGAAAAGTGCAGCACATTCTAAAGGCGCTATGCTCTCTTTTAAGATGTTTTTTCGACAGAGGTGGCTAGAGGAGATGTAATGTATTACTATGCATGTGTGTCTGTGTGTATATGCCAGAAGCATTGAACTACTGGAAATCTTGTTTATAAAATGTTCATTATGAGATAGTCCTGGACTAGACAGCAAAGGAGGGAGAAAAGAATATTAAAGATTCTGGGGCCCCTTAGGTGTTACTCAGCTGCAGAGGTCATCTCCAGCTACCTCCTG